TGATGAGTCCACGTTAATATTTTATCCAAATTAAGGCCCACGTATTTAATTTTTGTTGAGCAGGGGAAAGAATATCGTATGGAAAAACTTTAGGACCAGGATTGTGTYTGAGAGTGAAGGTTTTGTGAACGGATTTACTTCAATTAACCGTTTTTAAATTTCATTATATCATATAAATCAAATTTCGAACTAGTTGATGTTAGGTATAAGCAATAACTTTATAAATCGAGTTTAAGTACAAAGTTTACATTTTTGGAGTTGAGAGTGGCATCTCCAGTTATCCACAACTTATTAATTTAATTTATACTATAAACATTAACTAATTGTTTATGTTGTTTATTGTTTATTCAAATTGTATAATATAATGAAATTAATGATGAAACTATAAAAATTTCAATTTTGTTTCAAAAATATATAATGAATTTAAATTATGTTTAGTTCACTTAGTAGGTAATGTAAAAATTGGCATGTATTTAATTACTTYCACATTATGGAGTTCGCATTCAGTGCAGGACCGGTCCGACAAGTTTTCGAATATTATGAATTATAAATAATGAATCAACAATTTTTGCATTATTTACTATGGATTACAGTGGTTGGCCAAACATACTTTGTTTGAGTACAAAATTACTTTCATTATCATAAACTGGTCGAAAATAGTATCATTCAATAAAATAATATATTATTTTTAATGTACTGCTGTTGCAGTCGTAGCGCTTCAAAAATAAAAAAAACACTTTTGCATTTAGTTTTTGAATAAAATAATCGCAACTAGTGGACTTAATATACTTAGTTTCGCTTTGATCTATGTGGTGTTAAACCTACCTACCTATAGGCATTAATTTATATATATAATAATAAATATTAATATATATTAACTATTTTTATTCTATACTATAGTATAGTGTAATGTTAATGTTTATTTAGTAATTTGAACTAAATCACGAATGTTTGCAAAAAATGTTTGAAAGTTAAACACTTAGTAAATGATAAACTTTATTATTAAGGATAGAAAATTGAATCAGATTGAACCTAAAAGTCTAAAATATATAAATGCACATTTTTTTTCGATTACTTTAAATTAAAATGTTTAAGAAATTGGATATTAGTTAATATATATTTATTTTATTTTATATATAAACGCGGACGCAAGTCCTTTACAATATTTTATGCGCATACCTATACGTTACTTATTAATAGTAATACAATGTTGTGATGGGAATGTATGTATGTGTATGCTTTAAAGTTTTAACAGAAAATAATAATTTTAGTTGTTTTGTAGGGGTTAATTCAAATATATTTTTTGAGACTTGAAATATCATTATATATTTAATTATGTTTTACCGTGAGAGTCGCATTTTTAGAGTATTTAGATTCATTTTAAGCTATTGCCGAATTTGTAACATAATCCCTATAACTAACAGGAATATTAAATACAATAATAGCAATATAAAATTATCATACAAGATTTACTGAATTTATAATTGTATTAAAATTTAACYCTTACACAACAATGATAAACCTACTCAATGACGAGACGTACAGTGCCGCTTAATTTTTCTCTCTGCAATTTCTTTAAATATATATTTTCAATTTATAAGAGTTTATACATTTACAATGAATAATACATAAATAAACATCTTATATTAATTTTTATACTTTGATTTTCATAAACTAGTACTCATAGTTTATTCCACCGATATGACTGATATGAGGTTTTCCTATCAGAGCTAGACTGTGCTCGACACATGCTTCGTAGAACCATAAGGAATACTTAGTTTTTTAATATGATAGGTAGATATAATGATATAACTTTACTATAATTTAAGTATGACAGAATTTACATTTATTGAAGGATACTTTACCATGATATATTGAAATATAAATTTATTATTTTAAAAATTGAAATAATAATGGAAGAAATGTGTAGGCAGTAGGTATACCTAGTATATTACAAATATTTTTTGCATTTTTAATTTATCTAKTCCATCGTAGATCAAATCTGAAAGAAAATAACACTTAAAAAGCAATAAAGGTTTATCATAGGTTCCTAACAACAAAATATTGCGAATCCAATTTATCGCAATTATATCATATCACCTGTAAAATAATATCGCAGGGACAAAATTTCGTGAGCATGAAATATATCAGCAATATTATAATATTATAACTTGAATATAATTAATATTTAAAAGTTAGAATACAGCATATTATTACAATATATTTATAAACTATATTAATAGTATGAAAATATTGTATAATTATTAATAGTAATATTTGTAAAATTAAAAGTGTAAAAATATTATTTATTTAATAAATAAACGCAAAACAAACATATCTTTTCATTGTAAAATTAATAGTCATCACTCAGCTTAAAATCTAAAGTAAATTTGAGATATGTGAAATAGTTATTAAATATTAATTATACTTGAACTCGAGTTTTTAGATTATAATATTATAATTCAGTTGTTGCCATATTTTACTTCAACACATTTTTATACTAATTACATACTATTGATGGTTAATTATTATTAGTTATTATATTGTAATATCATTTATTAACTATTAAAATTAATTTAATTTAACTCTATCTTTATAATATAATATATTATATTGTAATTTAAAATTAAATTGCTGCTGTATTCTATGCTGAAAACATTTTTCTGGGGATAAACAGATTTCATGATATTTTATAGATGATATTTTTGTGATCATTCAAAAACAAATTTATCTTGAATAAATAATTATTATTGGTATAAAAATGCTTTATACCTAATGTAAGGTTTTTTAAAACTATTTTGTGTAATATTTTAATTTTATAATTTATTAATCAATATTTTGTTTTTATACAAACTAAGTGTAAACACGTGGTTATATAATAGCCAACAATTTAGCAATTTATTTGCATAGTGCAATCACACAATTGACTATTCTCTCATACGTTTTACAATTATTAGTTATTAATTTATAAACAATATACACAACTAACGTATTAACGTATGGGTGTGCAAGCCGCAAAGTAGATAAATTTAAACAAACATTTAATATAAAAAATGTATTTTAAACAATATTATTATATTACTGCAATACTATTTAGAATACATAAATTTATACCTACCTACAATAAACTAAAATATAAAGTAATAAATATTTCAACAAGAAAAAAACAGGTTCTATAATATTTTATTCTGTCATAAACAATGTTTGATAACATAAGTACTTTTCGAAACTAATTTCATATGTTGTTCACACTCTAAATTAATCTTATAAAACATATATTGTAATTTCAATGTTTGATAACATAAGTACCTTATTCCTACCAATCACTTGTAGATATTTAATGATCAATAGTTTTGGATAATTTAAATTTACCGTCGTGTTAGTTTATCTTAATTGCCCGAGAGTAATAACAATTTATGGATAATTCAATTTATAACTAGGTAATTATAAATGTAGAAATATTTTGTTCATTTACCTAGTTGTCAACATTATTTACATATACCTGCAGCTTAGGTAGGTAAAAATCATTATTTTTAAAAATTTCAAAATGTGGGGCCCTCATCACCAACGATTTTAATACCAAATAACGAGGTAAAAAATAAATAAGTTTTAAGTCAATAAATAGATCTCACTACAACATTTTAATACATATATAATGCCATAATGGATATAATAGGTAAAAAGTTATAGTGATATTCGATTACCTAAATTATTAATTAATAATAATGTCATCAGTGATGACACATCACGGTTTAAAAAAAAAAATAAAGACATTTAAACCGGAGTACCTTTCCGATAATATTACCTAGTATCCTGTACTATGATCAATTAATAATATTATAAGATAATTTTTATGCTAGAATATTATTTATTTAAAAACTTAGCTGCACAATATTAATATACCTATCATTGATTATTATGAAATTATTACATATTTTTAGTGGCTATTATACAGGAATAAGTCTCATCAGTTCATAATTAATACTAATAACTAATGAGTCATGCATTTCAATAAAAACTAGTTAGAAAAGTGTAAGAAAAAAACTTCAATGTTTAATAATTTATATTATTGGCATGCAATAGAGTRTCACTGATGTCAAACATCACGTTTATATCTTAAAAATCGTTGTCGAGCGTATTTAATAAATAATAATAATTACCGTTTAAAAAAAAAAAACTTAAGTACTCGTATAAAATACAGTTACTCTATAAAATGTTTAAATAAAATATGTTAATAAGAGTTAACGGTATATTCAGCTCCACGTGTCCCGCGTGGTGACACATTTTTGGGAATGCTTAATAATATTGATGTGTTTTTTTTGTTATATTTTCTTATGCTTTACTGATGTATATGGAAAAATCTTTAAAAAAATATATTATAAAATCACTTAACATTATTATTTTTATACTACTATATTTCACCGCTATTTTGTTACCTAAGATTCCAGTTTTGAACTTGGCTTTATAAATAAATACATTCGTGATCATCATAATCATCATCATCTTTCCTAAGCGCATGATCGGTGGGTATAAGAGATGATATTATTTCTTATTAGTTATTACAAATAGGTATGTGTAATATTATACGACATTTCTGGGTAAGCCCTGGTGTACACCAATTTTRGAAATTGGCTAGCCRCCGTCAGCTCAAAAGCACAATGTTTGATGACTAAATCATCCAACTCACATAATATTGTGAACTTAATATTGCAGTTATTGCACCGTGGCCTAAATCGCAAGTTTCCGTGATGGAAATATCTGATAAATAATAATTGCAAATGATCATTAAAAATGGCTTGTAGGATGGCGCGACCATTCGCCAAATTACGTCATAGGTACCTAACACGCGCCGTCTAAAACTGATTGAAAAGTTAAACGTAGTGACGATGCTATTCATAAAATGAGTTGATATATTATATCATGTTATTATTTTTTATTAACAAAAAAAATTATTATTAAAATAGATTATTGAAAGTTATAACTGCGGGTCTTTGTCTTACCCAAAAACTTTTATCGTTTTCGTGGAATTCGTTCGTGTCCATGCTGTTAGTGTTGTACTGGCCAGAAGAGGAAAATATTGTTTCCATAGTGATTAGAAATATAGTAATGTTCCTTCAATCGGCCGAAAGACAGAATAATTCGTTTGATCGCGGTGTCAATGATGAATGATGAAATTGTATACTCGTATAATATAATAAATATTATGATATTATTTAACACTCGCCGCATGCGCACATTTTTCCTCATCCGGTCAAACGTTCATTTCGGTGTCGACCCGGAGAGTACAAAACTGTAATATTATATTATTTATACTTATAATATAATAAAATTTGGGTATATGGTGGAATTAAAGTACCGAATACCGCACGTAATATCAAATTGTAATAAACATTTTTTTTTCGGTACAACGATTAATAATCAAAATCGTTACGCGCACCACAATCGGACTTATGACTATTATTTTACGATGTAATATTATTATCGATTTCTTACGATCGCAATTTGATTGATGATAAATGATAATAGTATGAATAGGTATTATAATATAGTCGTAGAGCTGTAGCGACTGGCAGTTAAACTCACACGCCACATACACGTCGGACGCCGGCTGAGACTGAGTGTCAACTGAGGAGCACGTTGTCGCCTTGTCAGTCCGATTTCGAACGGGATACGCCTCGGCCGCCGCTGCATAATACGGATGAACATAGCGATGTGCGTGTGTGTGTGTGTGCGTGCGTGCGTTGAAGGACGAAAAAAAATGTTTATATGAACCACCACAAAGACGCAAACTATTCGGGGAAACGGTTCCCGGGTCATCGWCCATGGCACCAGTTTCCGGGGGTTGCGAGTTGCGAGATATAATATGTAGGTATACTTAATATCTAGCGTTCCGTTTCCACTTTTCCGCTGACTGCCAGCTCTTTTATTTTGTTCGTTTTCCTAAAATACATTAACAATATGTTACAGTATGCACGCGAATGGCTATCGCCGCCATATACGATCTAGTATCTACTAATATATATAATTTATTAGACACTCAACTCGCACCGATAATGAAAATCATGTCAGACAATTTATTTAAAAAAAACATATTTTCATAGCAAGCAGTCAAAAATTTGCTGTACACCATATTGTCAATATTTCTAAGCGCAATATTTTGTCGTTGCCATACTCTTTCCACGTATCTATTAGTTATATTATGAATATGATAACTCCGCATAGGTACCTASGTGAGACAGAATCGTCCAACACGTGTTAGTACTGAAAATTAAACCATCACGTAATAATATTAGAAATTATATGATTTTTTCATAATTACCAAGGCTGTAAAAGTAAGTAAATGATATATTTTAAATTGAGTTAAGTTAAGTTGGTAGAAAAATTAAAAATAGATAAAAGTTAATATTTTAGTAAAGGTAATCAATTTTTATTGAACGCTACTCCAGACTAATGGCAATAACAATAAAAAGTACATTTAATAATTTAGTATTTAATTTCCAATAAGATTATTTTATTTTATTTATTATTCAATTATCTATAAATAAATAGAAAACTCGAATTTAGTTGAAAGTAATTATTTATTAGGTCATTTTCAATAAAAATCAATTAGGTTAAAAATTAAATATTTAAGTTAAAAAGTTACAATTAACTTTAACTTATTATTTATTAACAAGTTTACATCCAGAACTTATAAGTAGCATATAAGTACTAAATTTACAACTGTAGGTTTATATTAATTTTATTCTACTTCAATTCCTTCGTTATAAGTTTATGTACTGTTTAATATTAAACTAACGTCACTGATGTCCCTTTAGGCTACAATCAACATATAAAATGTGGAAACAAATATTATCTCAATTTGGGTTTTTAACCAAAGCAACATATTAAAAGAAAACGAAAAATTGGACCAATAAACTAAAAAGCATAGCGAATTATTAATTTAATAATATAATCCTTTTATTTTATTAAATTTAATCCTTTAGTGACCCCGTGAGGGTCCAGTTGACACCCACACAAAATAAAACCTCTTATGTACCTACTACAAATTATATTACATAGAAGTTGTACATATGGATTCTATTTAGAATCTTAGAATATGATTTGTAGAAATATTAATATTAAATCAATATTTATAAAAATTATTACCTATTAAATATTAATATATATACATTTGTAGGTAGAAATATCCATCGAAATTAGAGCGGTCATATTATTAATTAGTAATTACTACCGCGGAAATTGAAGTAAATGAAAAGAAAATGGAAAATATTCTCTAATAGCAAAAACTTTTGTAAAGGTACTGTATTCAAAATTAAATATTGTAAATAATTAAAATACTTTTTTTTGCAATCAAATATACAATCTATTAAAAAGTTTTTGCAACAACAATAAATACAATTATACACGATCCACTTATTATTTTTCTAAAAAATATTCATTTGCGTTCCTTTAAATTACAGCTAGAAACTTAGTACGAAACGATCCAATATCGTATTGACGTATTATATTACAAAACATACACCTATACCTAATTTTTAATTAAAATGAGCGTGATTCAAAAACGACTGCATACTACTTGCGTCCTCCAAAAAGGTATATTTTTCAAGTAGTAAATGCAAAAAGTAACTTAAGACCCATTATGGGGACGCAACTCAACCATTTTATTTTTCTTACTTGCTATAATAGTCATGACGGAGATGCGTCCATAAATATTATGTGTAACAATAATCAATAATCATGAATGTGTAAATCGTGTATATGGTATAATATCTGCGGCCATCGATAAATTAATATTATCAGCTATTATACAGTTTAAGTGTGATAAAATTAATTACGCATCATGACTACGGTTGTCACCAAATAATTTCCGAACCGTGTAAATAAAACTGAATGCTTTGAAAAACCAACACCAGAGATCTCATTTGATAGATAGGTATATCGTAAAAAATTTAAAGAAAAAACAAATTCTATTTTATATATTTAAAAAACATTTCACTCAAATTTCAGCCAACATTATTTTAATTATAAGTAATTAATAGTTTTATAATTCATCTAATTTTTTGTTATTTTTTTTGACAGTTGATAATTTAATCAGTTTTTATTAATAATAATAAATATGTTTTTACATTATCTGTGATTAATTTTATTTACTWAAATGTGATTAATTACTAATTGTAATACTTATTTTATGCTATACTAAGGTATGACTTATTTATGCTGGGACGCAACTTGGCTGTCTCAAAAGGTACTGTTGGGCGCAAATAGGCTATGATCTTTTTTGGTGGGACGCAAATTACCTACTGATAAATCAGACACAAGGAGTATTATGCACCATCAAGAATAAAATTCTACTCAATTTCGACTACCACCTGTAAAATGTTTTAACAAATAATAATGGTGATCAAATATTTTACGTACCATGGATCCATCCGTTCTTCTTTCAGTACAAACCATGTCTTGGTAAAAATGGAAACGATCACGGTAAAAAGAAAATAATTTATTACGCACCTACGCCCAGTATTTACGATATTGTTGAACGGTACGTAAATTGGCCACTAGAGAAATATATTTTTTACAATACGATACGGTTATGACAATGTACGTATACGTACT